ACAAGAATAAAACTTGCGCCAGCTGCGATTCGAACCGGCGTTCTCAGATTTTTTAAGCGGCTACTCTCTCTACATGCCAACGCCGCACATGAAATTTCGTTGACTAAGTGCCTACATATCAGCAAATCGTTAATTATACCCATTGTCCGCTACTGCATGACATTGTAACCAATTTTAGAACAAAACTCGTACNTTACTATACCTACGACTATATTTTTCGAGCAATTGGACTAGTCTTTCCTTCAGGGCGTATTGAGCAAGCATGCAAAATACATTCACATGTACATATGTATAAGAATATTGAGTGCCCTACATACAAAAAAAAAATATATATAATTCCCTAATCGCATATTCTGTCTTTTTCTTGCAGGTCAAAACATCACAAGACGTCTGTAAGGAATATCAAATACCTGCATTGAACTTTGCACAAACTGCAGAGAGAGTTTTTGAGAAAGGGCCAAAATCACTACAATCATGGTCGGTTTTTGTGAGGTATGTATGTATGTAACACAACATTGTTATTTTAAAGATACATTAACTTTTAACTTCTTCCAAACAGACGTACCGTTGATGGCGGCCTCATGACCACCTACTTTGCAGGAGCTTGTGTTTATATGGTATTTATAGCCACATCATTTCACGATGTCATCAACTATGATCTCGGCCTGGATTGGGATGTGCGCATTTACATTGCCATGACTGTGATACCTTGCCTAATGATTGGTCAAATAAGAAGTTTGAAATTGCTGGTGCCATTTTCAACATTGGCAAATGGTTTCATTGTGATCACATTCGGCATAGTGTTATACTATATGTTCAGCGAGCCGCTGGAATTCTCAGATAAGCCGCTGATTGCGGAAACCACAAAAATACCGCTTTTCTTCGCTACCGTAATCTTTGCGATGGAGGGTATTGGTTCGGTTATGCCTATTGAAAATGCAATGAAGAAACCACAACAGTTTCTGGGTTGTCCTGGCGTGCTAAATACAGCTATGCTTGTTGTGGTCGCCTTGTATGCGACTATCGGTTTCCTCGGTTATGCACGTTATGGCAGTGAAGTGCGCGGCAGCATTACCTTGAACTTGAAGGAAGGCACAATGTAAATATACAGTGGTATCTGGCTGGAGTGAACACCCGATGCTATGAACACCTCGCAAGAATGAACATGAAAATTTTTCCATTGAGTACTCTATAGAGTGAACAATTTTGAGTATTTGCAAAGTGAACAAAATTTAAAATCAATTCCTTCCAAATTCAAAACTGTAACGAAAAACTTAATACCAAAGGGGGNCAAAGTGAACAAAATTTAAAATCAATTCCTTCCAAATTCAAAACTGTAACGAAAAACTTAATACCAAAGGGGGTTTCAACTCGGAGATTCGGCAATTAATGAAGTGGGAAGACCATCTGAAGACCTGTAACTTCGCCTCTGGTGT